TTTTTATGGCTCGAGCAATCCGCAAAATACGTGTATGCTGAGTATCGTACAACCTCAACTTTATCATGTGCCCCCTATTAAAATAGTAAACTTAGTAAAACAATTTAAACAATTTGTAAATTTGGTAAATATTTAATTTTTGTACAAAATACAAACTTACGTTCCATCTTGTAAAAATAAATCACACGAGCCCAATCGAAGGACACGATCGTGCCGCACATACTTAACTCGTCCCCCCTTTATGATTTTCCCAACAACATCTAACAGAAGATATTTAAATCTAAAGATTATATATTGATTTTTGATATGAGAAATGTATATAAATTTAATAGAAGATTTTAATCTACCGATTATCATCTTTCTTGTACTCCCATCTTCAGCAAGAGTTTTTATCGAAGGCACCGATGGATATAACACAAACCCTTTTTCAATTTCACCCGTTAGCGGGATTAACTTGGTGTTTTTACTGACGATGATGATCCATTCGCCACGAACAAAACTATATTTTTCATACCTTGGGTACTCATAGCAAGTTCCTTCAATTTGAAAATGTTCCAAAGAAAAAACACCTCCCAACAAATTTCTTTGTTTGTAGAAATTCAGTAAACCACATGTAACAATTGCTGCCATTTTGTCTCTCTAATGTATAAAATATAAAATATTATATTTGTTAGTATTTTATAAAGAGAAATTTAATGTGAACAAAACTAAAATATAAATATTTTCACTTACGTTTCGGTCAAGAAAGATAAGATATAGTTTTTTTGCTTCCACATCTTCCCAAACAAATTCTACTCGAAGAGTGGAAAAATTCCACCAGACATGAGGTTGTTGTAATGATGAAAATACTTCGGCATAAGAATGTGAATCCATTTTCTACAAATTAAAGATAGAATATGAAGCACATATATTAAAAAATATTCATTCTTTTTGAAAAAATAAAGAATAGGACGAATGATTTAATTCTATACACATATTATTTTTACTTGAAAAAATAAAAAAAATTATTTAATTTTCCATTAAAGAAGAAGGAAGTATGTTTTGGGCCACATAAGAGAATGGATTAGAATACTTTCTATTGGACTAATTCTTTCAATTGGGCTCAAAAAGATTTAATTTATGAGACCTATTATTATCTAATGGGCTGTATCACTATTCTTTATGCCAACAACTTGGATTTAATGAAAAATGATGTGGACCGTGTGATGATGGTTTGGTCCTCTACTTTGAAGTGGACTCCCCCCAAGAACCATAGAGCCTTGGGGTTCTTTAAAATATGGGTGTAAGATGTTTAATTGTTTTTGTAAATATGGGTATGCCAATTTCTTCCTTTTAATTTTCTTTTTTATTAAATAAAATTTTCCCGACAATTCTATCTCCTTTTACCCAAGAAAAATAACCAATCACAATAAATGCCTTTCTTCTAGAGTTGTTCATGTAAAAATAATAAATATTTTCTTTTTAAATGAAAAATAAATTTGGATATAAACAAAATCATATGGAACATGCACTTGTTTGGTAAGCCTAAGTAGGATCCCACAACCACATGCACTTCTTCATATACCTTTTAATTTATTTCTAACAGAAAACGTCAAGACCAATTTAGATGTTATAAATTCAGTTTTAATTTTTGAAATTTAATAATTTTTTTATTGAAATGTTTAGGAATCGTTTATTAGATACTTATCTTAATAAGTGTTTATAGTTAAATTACTTGTCGGATGAATATAACGATGATCGATAAGTTGTTTTGTCAAACATCTTAACAGTAAACATTCACTGAATAAGTTTGTTTTTAACGATCCTTAAGTTGTTTTATGAAACATCTTTTTTAACACACTAAACCATAAGGATTATTGCCGCTAACTTTCGTCCATATCATAATATATAAAACTCCTCAACACACACATCTTCCAAATCTGGAAGGCATGCATCTCCATGTCATTAAAATGCACTTAACATTAAAATGCTCTCCATGTCAACACATAGACTAAACACAATCTTTTCAAGTGTCAGCGTCAAAACCAAGCTTTGGAACTCCAAAATCAACCTTTATGACATAAGAAAGTAAATTAATTAGGAAACTGCATAGTAAGAAGTATTTAAATTTATGTGGTAGCTTCTGACTTGTTCCATCTAATTGAAATACCAGATGCCAAAGATGGATGGTTATGAAACGACTAAAGCAATTCGAAGAGCAGAAATGGGAACGGAGTTGCATATTCGACAGCCCATGCCATGTCATCAAGTGAAGCCAAATGCTTAGAGGTGGGCATGGATGCATATCTAACAAAACCGATAGACTGCAAGCTTATGGCTTCCACCATTTTGTCGTTAACTAAGTTACAACCTAATTCTCACATAATAAGCAGCAGAAAACAATCTACTACTTGACAACTTAAAAGCAACAACAGTTGTATTGTACCAAGGTATAGCAGAAACAGTAGCATACAGGAGCAGAAATTTGACATAACCAATATCATAAATGCATAGTTCTTTTTGTTTCTGGTGGCCAAGTACTCAGAGGTTACTAATACTATGAAATCTTATGCTAAACCGATGATTGACATCATGATGTTATCAATCTATACAAGTAAAAGATCTGAATAACAGAATCATGTGTTTAGGATGCAAAAAATAAACCCACTATTGTTGGTTTTGGGACCAATGCAGATCCAACAATTCTTTTTCCCAATTCTTATATAAATGGTAGTCTCTATAAACATATAATGACAACATACAGGAGCAGAATTTTGACATAACCAAATTTAGAGACTTGCATCCTTTCAAAGCAAGAAATGTATACGTGTTATTTTGCTTTATATATACACAAGTTGAGAGAGTCACACATGACACATGTTTCAGTATGGATGAACAAAATGGACARACATCTTATTGTTTTGCAACTTTTGCCCAGTTAATGCATGCTTTTTATATGAAAAACCATGATTATCACATTCTTTCTAACAATCGCTTCATAAATCCCTTATTCGTGACAAAAGCAAAATCATACCGAAAAGCAAAATCACTAAAAGCAAAATCATACCCAAAACAGCAAAACAAACTAAATAATTACCTGGAAGATGGATTGAAGGTTGAAGGACAGCGTAAGCAGAACGATTCGAAGTGTAAAAGCAAAACCTAAAAACAAAAGCAAAACGCAAAACGTAAAAATAAAACTCAAAACCTGTATAGCGAAAACCCAAAAGCAAAATCTAAAAACAAATTTTTCAACCAACTTTGACAACATGCTAATGGGGACTTTAGGCTCTTAGTTGGGTTGGTAACTTAATATGAACAGCTACCATGAACAGATAACTCTTATTTAAACAGTTTGTTCCTATTTGAAGAAGTAGAAAACAACAAAAAAGACTTTAATCAATATGAAACATGGAGCAAAAAGAACTCCAAACAGTTGCAAGGATCAGAAATCAATGAAAATGAAGAGGTAGAAATTAAGGAAACAGAAGAACAATTGCAAGAGCCTGTGGTTCCAATAAGTAAAGAGAGGGAAAAAACTCATTATATTGAGGCCAAAAAAGAAAGTTTTGGTCAGTTGTTAGCTGATTTCTGTGAGGAATTAGAAACTGTAAAAATGATGGTAGAGGAGGATGTTATTGGAAAAGAAGATAGTAACAAAGATGGCATATATGAAAACGATATTGAAGGATGTAAAACTACTAAATTTTCTGATCAAATTGGCAAGTTTTGATCCGATTTCAACAGCTTCCATTGGGGTTTCTGTTCTTATTCTGGTATCTTCGAGTGTCCGATATTGTTCAAAGAAAATAAAAGTCTCTTCCCCTTTGGAAACAACGATTGTCCACAAAGATTCCAGGGATGGAAAAAAATCTTGAACCTCTTGTAAATCCTTCACATTCGGCGTAGAAGATACATTCTGCATCTTTGATGCTAAATCCAATCGAGAATGAGGTTTCTAAAGCCGAAGAGAGCAACTTTTATCTATCTGATGCATTTTATTCAAGTGAAAGAAAATCTTCCCACTTGGAACTGTCATCTGTAGATTCTCTTTCACGTGGAAGTTTTACAGTTGAGAAGGAGATTGTAAAGAAACAGGTGAATCAAGCAAATAAAACCCGGAGATACTATGTTAATATGGATGCTAACATGTTCGATTGTGGAACAGAAAAGCAAAAACCCGGAGGTAATGCTATCTACAGTAAGGCGA